ACCACACACCACCACAACAACAATATATACATGTGAAAGTTGGACAATGAATAATTAACGTGTTTGAATTACGGTATTTGTGAAGAGTATCAAAAGTAACCGTGGAATGCCAGAAGAACAAACAAATGTGTCATTGGAGAGAATACCAACAGAATACTAGTTAAAGCAAGGATGGCTAGATTTCGTCTATTGTACTTGAGACATGTTGTAAGTTGAAATCAGCCACTGGAGAACATCATGCTAGGAAAAATGGAGGGTTGTTGAAAAAGAGGAAGACTCCCAACAAAATGGATTGAGACAGTGCTTGCAACAGTGGACTCCAACATTTGTGAGGATGGAGCCAGACCACTTAGTATTTCTTTGTGTTATGCATAGAAAGTCACTGAGTTGGAATCAACTCGATGGCATTTAATAACAATTTACCACTTGAATTTTACTATCACATAATTACCACTCATTCATGTGACTATATTGAAAAACAAACAAATACATTCCTTTTTTGTCTACAGTGTTGGTGTTTTTTAACTTTTTATTGTGAATTAAGTAAAGGTTTACAGAGAAGATCTTCAGTTTTACATTTAGCAAATCAGGTACTTTGTTTCAGCTTAATACTGCAATCCCCTTTGTGCAACAACAGTTATCCTACTTCCTCCCTGTGCTCCCTGTTTCCCTTCCACCATTCTTCGCATCCCAGCTCAACTTTGTCCTTTGGTAAATGATGTCTCTTTGATCATGAGTGATCTACCATTCCATGGTGAGCATACCTCACTACTGTTGTTGCCTCCCCTGTATACCTGTCTATTGCTGGGCTGAAAATTGGGCCAAGAGCCATAGTCTTGGATTCCTCCAGTCTCTTTCTAACCATTGTTGTTAAGTGACACTGCAGAGTGCTTCTGCGGAGCCTCTGGTAGATTTGATCCACCACCCTTGTTAACTGTAGTGCTAATGCCATACAAGGACTCCTGACCATTAAGCCCAATCTTTTTTATAATTTTGAGTTTTGTTCCACATTTTCTTCTACTTATCTGGGATCTTCTAATGTGACTCTTTCCTTGCAGACATTAGTGGTAGCTGGGTACCATCTAGTTATTCTGGTCTCAGAGTAGTTAGTGGTAACCGATGTTTACCATTGGACAAGCTGATTCCAAGCATCTTCAGTTTTTATCGCTCTTCTTTCTTCCAGACATAGAGAGACCAGTAGTTGCACCTTAGAGCAATTACTTCAAAGTGCAGAAGCTTTTAAGATCCCACTCGCTACTCATCAAAGTAGGACATATAGAACATTGTCTTGACAGTGTATTCTTAAGAAATGTGGTCATCTTAATTAGCCTTCATTTGAAAACACTTTTTTCATCTTTAACTTAAAATGTGACACCATAATAATAAATGGAGTCTTAGTGTGGCACTGTGGGTTAATGCACTGGGCTGTGAAGTTGCTTTGATCCACAACGTCAGTAGTTTAAGCTCACCAGCTGTTTCTCAGAAACCCTATACAGCGTCCCTATGAGTCGGAACCGATTCCACGGTATTTACAACAACAACAATTGTAAAGTACTAAGGTATCACATAAAACATTGTTGAATTCTCTTTTTGTTGGTTAGCAAGCAGTAGTAAGGATAAACTTGTAAAACAATGATATAACAAGATTATTCAGATATGAAAATATACAATAAAATACGTAAAATAAGGGAGAAATAACAGAAAATGCATGAGACCTGAAAAAGTTGCAAGAGGAGTTGACAAAAAAATTCTACAGTTTTTCTGGAAGAATAAATGGGAAAGTTTAATAAAAATGGTTAAAAAAATAAGAAAGGTTTCAAAAAAGTAATGAAGGAAAACCAAATATAAAAATACTTTCAACACATTATTATCATAGTATAATAATGTAAAAGAGTCCTGGTGTGATGCTGTAGGATAAGCACTGGACTGCTAATCACAAAGTAAGCAATTCAAACCCACCAGCCACTGCGCCAAGGGAACCCTATACAGAATCCTTGGAAATCATATACACACAGTCTCTGTGAGTCAGAACCAACTTGATGGCACTTAACAAGTAATGTAGAACCATAATAATGCATTTTTATATGCAGGGCTTATTATCATAAAATTAAGACTAAAAGTATACCAAATTTGGAAGCAGTGTCTTTTAGTATTGAAGAAGAAAAATCTTAGAACATCATTTTGCAAAGCATTCACAACACACTATGGTAATAGATTTCAAAGTTAAAATTTTTAACAGCTTGGGAAGTTCTGGGTTAAAATAGTATTATTTACAGCTAGAACTCTTTAAAAGATAATGTTTGTTGTTGTTTTTTTAAATAACTTGAAACCAAATCACAATCTTGCAGGAACACACTCAGGGAAACCTAGAAATGACCCACATTGGACACCAAAATGTCAGTTATATTTCAAGTAAGAAATCATGAAAAAGAATCAAGATGTGTTTTTATTAAGTCGCTAGAAGAAAGTAGTTTTCATGGAGGGAAGATAATTGACAAATTTGTATAAAAATGGAGAAACTACAACTGTGAACAAAAATAAGCAAAATATTTGCTGCAAAGTTAAAGGATAATTTACAGACTTTTTTTTTTTAAGAGCTTAGTTTTGTTGTTAGGTGCCGTCAAGTTTACTGACTCATAACTACTTTGTGCACAACCGAACAAAACACTCCCTGGTCCTGCGCCAACCTCACAGTCACTGCTACAGTTTAGCACATTGCTGCTGCCACCGTGCCTGTCCATCTCATTGGGGTCTTCTGTCTTTTGCTAACCTTCCACTTTACCAAGCATGATCTTTCTCCAGTGATAGGTCCCTCCTGATGATAATGTCTGTAGTATGAGAGACGAAGTCTGGCCATCCTAGCTTCTAAGGAGCATTATGGCTGTACTTCTTCCAGCACTGATTGGTTTGTTTTTTGGCAGTCAGTGGTACTTTCAGTAATCTTCTCCAACACCATAACACATGCATCAATTCTATGGTCTTCCTTATTCACTGTCCAACTTTTGCATGCAGATGAGGTTATTGAAAGTACTGTGGCTGAATTTATGAGCACCTTAGTGCTCAAACTGACATCTTTACTCTTCAATACTTTAAAGAGGTCTTGTGCAGCAGATTTACCCAATGCAGTATGCTATTTGATTTCTTGGCTCCTGTTTCCATCAATGTGGCATAGTTTCCAGAATAGCAGCATCATACAAGCCACCACAACACAATAAACTAACAGACTAATTAGTTCTGACTCATAGCAACCCTGTGTACAACAAAGTGAAACATTGCCCGGTCCAGTGGCATCCTCACAATTGGTATAGTTGAGCCCATTTTTGCAGTCACCATGTTAATCCATCTTATTGGGCGTCTTCCTGTTTTTCACTGACTCTCTGCCAAGCATGATGCCTTTCTTCAGGGACTGGTCCCTCCTGATACCATGTCTGAAGTCTCACCATACTCACTTCTAAAGAGCACTTTACATGTTTGCCAAGACAGATTTGTTAGTCTGCCATTCCAGTGTATATTAAATATATCAATTCCATAATTCAGATGCATCACTTCTCCAGTATTCCTTACATACTGTTCAGGTCTCACATGCATATGAAGTGATTGACAATACCATGGCTTGTGTCCGGCACACCTTAGTCCTCAAAGTGTCATCTTTAATTTTTAACAGCTAATTTGCCCAATGCAATGCATCATTTGATTTCTTGATTGCTTCTTCCCTGAATGTTGATTGTGGATTCGAGTAAAATGAAGTCCTTAATAATGTGAATCTTTACTTCATTTATCAAGATGTTGGAATGAGCTTAGACTCTACAAATAAATAGGCAATGAACATAGTTCACTGGAAAAGAAATATAACTAGTATACAAACATGGGGAAAAATTACCATAGAAACATGTAAAGTTGCCCTTGTTGATGAAAGGAATGAACGGGAGCATTGTTGTGAAAACTTGCTAGTTAAGCTTCCCAGGCATTTTTCTACTAAAACTTTGGCTAACTTTCTCTAAACACTCTCTTAATTAATACAAGCTATCCTTCTTTGGCCCTTCAGAAAAGTCAGGAAGCTTCCCAAAAAACTTGTTGTTACCAGCCCTCTTTTGCTATGACTGGAGCACTTCCATCATTTTGTAGCCATTACTTGGATTGTGCTTTGTCTTCCGGATAGTACCGGTAAAACTACATTTCATCTCCTGTTAGATTTCTTCCCAGAAATGTTTCAGAATCTTGATCCCACTTGTTTAAAATTTCCACTGAAAGCTCTGTTCTTGTCTGCAACTTTTCTATCTAGGCACAACAGTTTTGTACCCATCAAGTGGCAAGTTTGTTCGACTTTAATTTTTCAGTCAGAATTGTGTAAGCTCAACAGTTGAGTTGTCTCTGGAGTTGGCTACTGTTTCTGCTATTAATAGTTGGGCCTCTTCAGTTAGGGCACGAACAAGATTGATTGTTTCCTGGCAAATGGATGTGGATTGTCTACTACTGTGGACATGTCATCTTCAGCATCATCTCATCCCTTCTTAAGAGGAGTTTGTAAACTGCTGATTTCTTTGGGGCATTGACCCCATTAGCTTTTTGTGAAATATCAGTGATTTTACCCTTCTTCCACCCAAGCGCCACCATAAAGTTGCTGTTTGTTCTTCAGTTTTAGCAGAATACCTATTGCTCTCATAGGTGCTCTTTTCAAACTGATGTCTTATCCTTCTTAGTGCCCCAAAATAGATCCTGTTCAGACATGTTTTATAACAAGTTAGTACAAGTTGATTTTGATGCAAAGAAAAATTTAAGTCCACCAATAGTTTTTTCATAATGTGCATTTTCCATGAACTTTTTGAATACCCTCATACCTGTATTCTCTGTCTGCTCTTTAAGAAAGTGTATAAAGTAACGAAGAACATTTTGACATTGACTTACCATGTTTATGTGGGAACTAAGTATCACTCCTGTCCTGTCAAACATAATTCCGATCTTGCAGTTAGACATTTCACATTGTCTCTTTCTCTCCCTAGTTCCCACTCTGTGATGGAGCTCACACAAAACACAATGAAGAGACTGGAGACAACGTCGGACCTCTGATCATCAAGAAAAAAGAAACTTAAATGGACAATTTTGATGCTACAAACCAACATGTCATGATGTTACCTGGTTGCTTAATTAGGATGAATACCACTTATGTCTAATTCACATCCCCTGGGTTCTAGATGTGGTATATATTGTAAAGTGCAGCTTTCACATCCACGGCATTTGCCTTACTTGTTGAACCATCGTGGTGAACATTTGTTTAATCAGAAAAAAAAAAAAAAGGAAAAACCAACCTTATGGCCTGTGGGTTATTTTGGTCTTGTTAAGGATCTGCTTCTTTAAATTCAAAATAATGATGATATTAGAATGTCACTGTATGTTGAAGTTAACATATTAAATTATTCTCAAAATCATGTATATGCAGACTGTACCTGTACTTGTAAGTTTCCAAGAAAAGTTATTATTATTTTTTTTCATATTACTTGGTTAACACAGAAAGTAAATTAGGTGTGGTTAAGCTATATTAATTTCTTATTGTTGTGTGCTATCAAGTCGATTGTGACTCTTAGTGACCCTGTATAGCTGAGTAGAACTTTCCCAGAGGACGTCCTAACCAGGTCTTTTCTCTTCATAGATATTAAACTGATCCATTAAAAAAGCCAATAGTTTAGATTTAGATCAAGTATTTGATTTCATATAGTCTTATAAGGAATGCCAAACTAATGTTCTGGAAGTCTAGTTCAAGGAGCAGCAAACACTTAAACTGGGAACATGAAATTGGGGGATGACACCGGTTTTTTGACTGCAAAACCCCATTTTCATGACAGGAATAGTACTCATATGGTAGATTACAGATGTGAGAAGGGTTTTGTTTGTTTTTTTTTCCCACTGGTTAATAGGGGATATAGCTGGCAATATTTTGAAGGGAGAAATAAGAATTGCAGTCTCTTAAATTGTATGATCATTTCCTTAAAAACAGATATTTGAACACAAGTATTTATGTAATATTCTTCAAAGAATTTAGAACAGAAATATTGTATTCATTACTGATTCTGAATAAAGAAAATATGAAAACAAAATAGAAGCAATAAAAGAAATAAGGATTAGTTATATATTATTAGGGAGACTTGGTGTGGCACTGTAGGTATTAGCACTGAACTGCTAACCACAAGATTTTAGGTTCAAACCTGTCAGCCAACCCTTGGAAACCCTAGCAGGGTCGCTATGAATTGAAATGACTCCATGGCTCTAACAACATAAATTATTAGAGATTAAGTTTTGGGCTTTATAGGTTTGAAGGAAAAGAAATCATTAACAAATTTCATACATAGTGTATTTCAGATAAAACAGACAATTCCAATCATGGTTACCCCATGGTGTCAGAGTAGAACCAGGCTCCTTAGAGTGTTTAATAGCTGGGTTTTTTTTGTTTTTTTTTGGAAGTAGATCACCAGACCTTTATTCCAAGTTGCCTTGGGGTGGACTTGAACCTCTAACCTTTCGATGAGCGACCAAGCATGTTAACAATGTGCACCACCCAAGGACTCCTCAAATAAATGAACATTCATTTATTTTCCTATAAATGAATTCTTGGCAGTAGTTGTTCACAAGTTACCACCTACTAAAATCCAGTTACCTTGGAACTCACAAGAATCAATGAAACTAACTAGCCAACATTCCTATGCTAACTATAATCTGATTTTTTAAAACTACACTGTTTTATATATTACAGAAATTGTATACATAAAGTTGATATCAAAATTGTATATATTGGCTTTAAGTAGCCTTTGTGACTTATGTTTGGACATGTCTTTGAGGAATACCTCCAGCACAAAATCTTTAAAATCCTACAAACCCTGATTCTATTGCTTTTTAGGGTGAATGCCACCCCATTTTTTAAATTAGCATAAATGGGTCAGTAAAAGTTGCATACTTGTAAAGGTTAATTGTTTTTAAAGAAAAAAAATATTTTAAACAAATTCCCAAAGTTCTGGGGTATCTTTAACTGGACCAACTAAACTTAATCTGAAATTTGAAATTTGTTACAAATTTTTATATTTACCAAAAAAAAACAGCAGCTCATACCAATTCTCAAAATACACATTTTTAAAGTAAAGGATTGAGTGTGTTGTACATTGATGAAATTAGAAATGAACACCTTACTGTGAAGTACAAATCTACTTTTAGCATTTTAATAATCTGAGATAATTAGGTAACTGTATTTTCAGAGTTGCATTCAAACACTGTTAATGCTTTTGAGCTAGAATTTCTTTAGGATAATAAAACATTTTCGTATCACTTCATTAACCTGAAGTAATATGGATGTGATTAACTTTTTCTTCAGTTTTTCACACAAAATATGATGGTGTGCAATTCCTGTTCTTATTTATTACCCTAGAACTTCTAGTGACTGCGTAATTTGATGTTGATATTTATAAGTTAGGTTGCCAAATGAATTATGTTCTATCAGATAAACAGTCCACCACTGCCACCATCTTTCTTTTTCCCATTGTGTTCTAGTGACTTTGTGCTGGGTTGAGAAGTTACTCATGTGAAAAAGATTGTTTTGCATTGATTTAGGTAGCTTTCATTGTTTTATGCAGCAGGCATTAGGCATCTTCTATGGACCATGTAATTGAGGAAAAACATTTTCACTAATTGGTGTCTTATCACTTACAGATGCTATAATTAGATTATGACAATATATGATGTAGGTGGGGTTCATTTCCTTAACAGATTATAACGTTTATAGTCACACTTGTATATACCAAGTATTTCTGCTACAAAGTAGATGGAATTATTTATATTCATTATAGAGGTTTGGGGTTTTGCTTTGCTTTTTAAGGTCAGATTTAGCTAAGGTTATTGATGAGCAACATGTTTAGTGCTTCAGCATCAATAAGGGATTGCCAAAATAACACACCATAAAATCGGTGTTATATAAGAACAGAGTCCAGGTTTGGCGCTGTAGAATAAACACTGAACTGCTAACCTAAAGGTTGGCAGTTCAAACCCACCAGTCGCTCCTTGGAAACACTATACCACGTCTCTATTGGATCAACTGACTCTAGACCACTTAACAAGATCAGCTTACTGCTTCAGAGCTCTGGATCGAGTAGTCCCAGACTCAGGGTTGGCAGGTCCAGGTTTTCTCAGAAAGGTGAGGGGAAATCCTTGTCTTTTCTTTTGGCTTGCATATACAACATAACTATCTTGTCATGTGCTCATCTTCCCTACATTTCTGTCTCTTAGGAGAACGTCAGTCAGGATGGATGAGGACCTTCTTCAAAGTCCCTATTTCCAAACAAGGTCACATTCCCATTCCCAGGATTAGGGTTCCAATGTAGCTTTTGGCAAGGGAATGGAGGTACAATTCAATTTATAGCTCTCTACAAAGTATCATAAATATGCTCTTTGTAGTCCTGGTGGGGCGCTGTGGGTTAATGCGTCAGACTGCAAAGTCCGCTTGAGCCGCAAGGCAGGTGGTTCAAGCTCACCAGCTGCTCCTCGGAAACCCTATACAGGGTCGCTATGGGTCAGAACCCAACTCTAAGATACTTAACAAGAACAACAACAATGTGGTCCTAGCACTGACATCAGGCAGAAAAAGCCATGCAAATTGAAGTGATTGGACTAAATATTTTAGCTATTGCTCCCATATTCCAAGCTGAGAGTAAATTTTTAGCAGTCCACAAGTGGGAGTAGGTAAAAAGACTAATAAAAGGTTATCAGCTTGAATTTATTTTCTATAAGATTATTTTAACTTTTGTGATATTAATATCCATATATGAAGTGTTGTTGATAGTAGATATTTGTTGCTTTAAATATCCTTACTTGGCAAAATAAAGAGTTGGTAGTCCTATCTTGCTCCCCACTTTCTTTTTTAAAATACTACATGAAATCTGAAGTCTGAGAACGCCTACACCAAGGTCCTTTCTAAATTTCTGGAGCTTTTTAAGGTATTAAAATACCATTTTTATTGGTTTGGGTATGTAGTTTGTAAATCAGGAATTTTTCATGTGTGGTTATACAATGCAATCAGCCTTCCTGAAAAGCTAATAATACCAACAACAAAAAAGAGTTTTTCTATTTGCCATTATGGATCCAAAGTAAGTATAATGCCTGTCTACCCAATCTATAACTTTAATCAATCAAAGTTGCACAACACAGAGCTTTGCAAAGAACAGATCTTTTTACGGACTTTAACGAAGTGTTTCATACACATTTTGTATTTAATGTTTTTATGGTGAATTAAGTGAAAGTTTACTGGCCAGATCATTAGTTTTACATTCAACAAATCATATACTTT